GCGTCATCTCCACCTCATAAGCACAGCGTTCTGTGACCAGCCCATCCCTCAGCACTCTCCTCCTCTGAACTCCTCGGCCTGGAGCAATTATTGTCTGCACAATTCATTTGGCATCTAATCATGTATTGCCTCATGACTTTTCATATATTGCTATCTTGAACCAGGGCAGAAAGAATTTGCTGTAATTTCACTGTTAGTTCTCATACGCCTGTCTTCTCAGTGAAGACGCACGTTCCTTGAGGACAGGAGCCGTGTCTTCTACATCTTTTTGTTCCTTATGGCACCACCAAGTGTCTCATAGGTAATAAAATAAATGCTTAATGGGTCTTCATTTAGGAATCTCAGACTGGAAAGACCCTTCTAATCACATAGTTCAATCTCTTATTTTGTGGATGAGCAAAAGAAAAAAAAATTCAAGAGACTTGCTCAGAGACCTAGCTAATGCAAATGGCTGAGCCAGACTTCAAATGCAGATGTTGTTATTCTCAGTCAGGGCTACTTTCCAGATACTAAACTAGCTAGCTACTGACTGTGTGTTGATTTCATTTGGAAAATGGATTGCATTCATTTGGCACTTTTTTTTTTTTAATTGTGGTAGTGGGGATTGAACCCAGGGCCTCATGCATGCTAGGCAAGTGCTCTACCACTGAGTTCTATCTCCAGCCAAGTGGATTGCATTCATTTCAAGGATAAGTAGACATTTAGAAAATATAGGGAAAGAAGTTAAGCAAACCAGTTTGGGTGTAGTGGCACATGCCTATAATCCCAATAACTTGGGAGGCTAAGGTAGGAGGATCACAAGTTTGAGGCCAGCCTGGACAATTCAGCAACTTAGTAAGACTTGTTCTCAAAATAGAAAAAAATGAAGAGGAAGAAGAAGGAGGAGGAGGAGAAGGAGAAGAAAAAATGACTGGAGATGTAGCTCAGTGGTAAGGCATCTCTGGGTTTAATATCCAATTTGGTTTCAGTACAAAATAAATAAATAAAAGAAGATGAGCCAACCAGGAGTGCAGTAGGACTTCTACAAACTCTTAGAAGTAGAAACTTGTTTGATAAAATTTGGGGGGAACAGCAATTAGACCAAGACAATTTCTGTATAAGAGAGTTGTGGAGAGGGATGGGTCAGGGATGCCCATCAATGCCAGGATTTTGGATTTAAGCAGATATTTGTCCCAGGGCAGCCACATGCCTGCACCTTAGATGAAAGTCCCATCCCTTGACTCCACTGTCCAGAAGTTGTAGTGGGGTGTGTGGTGGGAATGGGTGGGGGGCCAGGGTAGCCAGCTCAGGTGGGCTAAGACAGGGCATGGGAAACGCCTGCTCAGAGGCAGCTTTGGGCTATAACAAAACCTGACTTCAGTGGTATTGAAAAGCGTCACTGGTAATGTGGTTACATACAGCCTTCAACTTTAATAAGGTGTTGCAAAACTCCGAAAGTACATATAACCAAAAACACATTTCACTGGAAGCTTGATCTTGAGTCCTGTTCTATTGCTCCTGTGTGGAGTTTTGGTGCTGTCAATAGAGCTGTTAAAACACAATGGAAAGTGGTAATTGTGCATTATATGGCTTTTGTTTTCCATTATGAAATATTGACATCCGAAAAGACAGTGGGATTATTGTGGGCAGGAGCTGCCAGGGGGAGGCTGGAGACAGGGAGGGGGAGCTGCTAAGGGCAGAGGGTGGCAGAGCAGGAATCTGTCTTCTATTCCAGGAGGTCTCCGAGTCTTGCTTTTTCTAACCAGGAACCTGGGAAATTCATGCAATTAACTGACATGAAGAGGCTCTGTTTGATCATCAGGATTTTGAGAAGACTGTGTGGTCCAGTATGGAGGTGCCTGGGGAAGTGGGGTGTATCTGTAGACACCTTGGGGAGATGAGGACAAATGCAGTCAGGAATCATTTCCCAAGAAAATCTGGGCCAGTGTCCATCCCCAGGGATGCATAAAAGATGTCCTTTAACCTGATGCTGGGTATCCTGGCCATTCTGGGGAAGGTGGAGACTTGTAAAAGTGCCCTCTGCCTAGGGCACCTTGTTCCTCCCAAGTAATAAGACAATAAAATAATAATAGCTTGCCTTTATTGAGTGCCATGTGGCAGGTGCTTTAAGTATGTTTTCTTACTTAATTCTTCTAAACCTGGGAGGAAGTGTCAGCCCATTTTCTGGATGGGGGACTGAGGCTGCATGGAGGACTCTGCGGTGTCTGCCAAGCCTCCAGCCTCTTCCTGTCTCCGAGAGCCGTGGGAGGGAAGGACATGTGGGAAGCACAGAGGAAGCCACGGCCAGACAGATTGAGGGGGTTTGGTTTCACTTATTTGGAAGAAGTAAGTGGGAGGGGCTGCAGGAAGGTGTTGGGGGGCTGTGTATGTGGCGGGGAAGATTGCCCTCAGGTAATCTGATGTCAGTCCTGGGTCATCGGGACAGCCCCCTGCCTCTGCACAGGTGAACCACTTGGTGAGATGGGACCTTTAGGGTAACTTCTGTCCGCCTTGCAGCACTACGGGTCTGCCACTGGGTTTGAGGGACAGCCTGTCTTTCTAGATAGATTACATTTGGTTTGCTCAGAAGGCATTTATGGCTTTATAAAGCTCTTAAATTGGCTCTTTTCCCCCCTCAAAACATTTCTTCAAGCTTACAAGGCCAGTTTTAGAATAGCAATTACCAGCTCCAATATCCCCCAGCAAACTCATGCTGTGCTGTTGTATATAAACTGCTTGGGACATTTGTAATGCTGCCACACGGTGTATCTGCGGGCGGAAAGCCCCCGTTTCTACCAAGGAATGCTGCAGAGGCCCTTTCTCAGCCCTAATTTATGGGCCACATAAAACTCTGTGAAGTTGCCCTGCATCTTTCTGAGGCAAAGTTGAGGTTTTTTACTGTTTCAAGCTGCTAATTTTTTTCCATTTAAAGCCAGCCTTCTGTCCATGCCAGTGTGCATGTGTGCATACAAGTTGGCCACTTTAATTTATGTGCCTCCTTCTCTTTCTGTAATGCTTATAACTTACAAATGTGTGCATAATATACCGGCAGTTCCTCCTTGTTATAAGAGGCTTGGCTGCTTTGTGCTGTGGCCGTGATAACCTGGACCCCCCTCCTTGCTGCTCCACTGTTCAACCCAGGGAGGTAGCCCCAGGGCAGGGACATGGTCCTAGGATCTGTGTGAACTGAGGCCCAGTGTCCTCACCCATAAGACAAGGGGCTTAAGAGAGGCAGCAGCGTGGGGTGCAAAGTATCAGAGGATCAGAGCAGGGGATTAGGGTTTAGGGCTGGAATGGAGCACATTCCACGCGTGCTATCACCCGCAAACTGTGTAGTCCTTCTTAGCCTCAGTTTACCCATTTGTGAGATGGGGTAGGATTATGAATTTCTCACCAGAGTGTTGAGAGTTTCACGTATGCTAATGACTGCGAAGGCCCTTCATGAGCTGAGGCAATATCCAAGGGCTGGCTGGAAGCTATTCCAAGCTCTCAACTGCTGGCAGCACCCCTAGGAGAGAGAACAGCCAAGAGCAATGTGATGTCTCAGGGCTTTCCAAAGTCAAATCTAAATGCCTGTACATGAGCCGGGCCTCCCTGGTCTCTGCTGAGCACTGAGCCCAGAGCTGTTGTGTAACACAGGGCTGAGGCAGAGCTCTGGCAAGTGGCTCTTGCTTTTCCACCAGGGCCCTCTGGGCCCAGAGATTTCTGATCCTTTGAGGAGAGCACATTGACACCCCCTTCCTCACTCCAGGCCAGCTCCTGCCCCTATCCTTTCTTGGGAACAATAATCCTGTCTTGATCTTTGCTGGTACTTCTTATTTAGGGGAAAACACAAGCTGGTCTTTCCAGGGTCTCCTGAGAACCTAGATGATGTTAGTGTGTTGTGAGGATTCATAAGCAGGGAGGTTTGTAGCTCCCAGTTCCTCTGTCCACACAGATGAGTGTTCACCACACAGTGGGGAATTTGGCCCTCCTACCCTCCAGGTGGGGCTTGCATTGGCTGACAGAAGGGGACATTCAGCTCCTCTTGGGGCTTGGTGAGCCCCTCAGTGTAGAGGACCTCAATCCCACTCTTGCTTCAATGTCCCTGAGGCCCTGTCCTTACTCTTGTACTCCTTGCTGCTGGAACACTCCCCACTTGGATACTTAGCCACTAATGCAAAAACAGATTCATCCAACACATTTCCTGTGAAGGGAAAGATGCTGTCATTTATTGAGCATCTATGATACGCCAGATAGCTGCCAAGGTGCAGGTAATTAAATTCTCACCAAACCCCACAAGTCATCATCACTAACCTGCATTCAGCATTCCCCATGAACCACACAACTGTTCTGAGCTCCTTATGTGAATTCAGTCCTCACCACACTCCTATAGAGGACAGGAGCTTGTGAGATGGACAAGGGTAATGACCTTGCCAAACATCAACAGCTAGTAATTTGGAAAGATGGGATTAGCACCCAGGAAATCAGGTTATGAGACTGGACTCTTAATCACCACATAGGAAGTGTTGCTTCTTCAAAGAAGGTATTTTATTATCACCCTGTTTTAATTTTACCCCACCTATATTTACATTTGGCTATTAAACTGGATATTCAAAGGGTTTAAGTAACTTCTCCAATAACATAACCAGGAAGAAGCAGAGCCAGAACTCTGTTGTTGTTGTTTGTTTGTTTGTACTGAGGATTGAGTTCAGAGGGGTTCTCTGCCACTGAGCTAGATCCCCAGTCTTTTTATTTTTTATTTTGAGACAAAGTCTTCTTAAGTTGTTGAGACTGATCTTGAACTTGTGATCCTCCTGCCTTAACCTCCCAGGTTGCTGGGATTACAGACATGTGAGCCAGAATTTGAACCCATGTTTCTCTGCCCAGGAGCTCCACTCTGTCTTTCCATTCTGTCTTTCCACTATGCCTGTTTTCTTTTGCTTACTAGTTTAAGACATATGATTTTCCTACCTGCAATATTTTGCATTTTTTCCTAATATTTTAGGAAAGTGAGAGCTATTATATAACTATAACTTTTAAAGAAGTTGAGGATGGTTTGGAAGTGGGAGGGCTAGGAAACAGGAGAAAGGGGAAGGACTTTGCAATGAGGGTAGAAGTGAAGTCTTAGGCTGTTTTGGGCTGCTGTAACAGAATACCTAAGTCTGTGTAATTTATGAAGAATAGAGATTTACTTCTTTAGTTCCTAGAGGCTGGGAAGTCTGAGTTAAGGGACCTGCATCTTGTAAGGGCCTTCTTGCGCATCATCCCATGGTGGAAAGTGGAAGAGCAAGAGAGCATGGGGGATGGAAAGGGAAGAAGAGAGAAGAACTTGTTCTTTTATTAAGAACCCAATCCTGTGATAATTGCCTTAATTCATTCACTCATGATTTAATCACCTCTTAAAGGTTGCAACCCCTGACAGTGTTGCTTTGAGAATTAAGTTTCCAACACATGAACTTTGTGAGACACACTCAACTATAGCAGGTGGTAAGGTCCAGGTTAGGGTAGACAGAATGAAAAAAAAAAAAGGTTCTCAGTGACTGTGCAGGTATTGGAAGTCTGGTTTAGGGTGGGACCAGCCCAGAGACTCAGTGGATTAATGTAACATTCATGAAAATGAGAAAGTCTAGTGGACATGGGTTTCATTTTTACAATGTTGAGCTCAAGGTGCTGGCAGCTGATACTGATGCCCGATACTTTCTCCAGCCTCCAAAATTGATTCTAGGTAACAGGGTTCTCAAAGCATTTGAATCATCGTCTCTTTGAGAGGATAAAAGAATGATAAATTCTCCCAAGGAAATAAAAACTACAAGCACAATTTCCTGCCAGTGTCCCTGCTATAGAATCCCTAACTCACAGGGGCTCCAGGTTCAGAATGCTGGGTTTAAGGCCTCTTTCCAAGTTGAGAGCTTCTAGACTCCCTGTTGTCCTCCTCCCTGGGACCATAGCTCTGGGGAGGGCCTGAGGCAGGGCCTGAGCAGAGAAGACCAGCTTCTGTGTAGTCCACCTTCTTCCCCTGAACTCTAGAGCATGAGTGGTGGAAAGCATCCCATCATGGGGTCTCCCCAACCTTTGCTGAGAGGCTCATTTTGCACTTCTAACCAGGCTCTTGGATGAGGGAGGAAGTGTCGCTGTCAGGGACAGTACTGATGTTCAGAGGCAGTGCAGGGGAGGAGGGAGATCTGAGAGTCATTGAAGTCACACCTGAGTCAAACCCTGCTACAAATTTTTCAGTGACCTTGGGTAAGCTTCCTCACTTTTCTGAGCCTGAATTTCCTCATCAGTAGAACTAAGAGAGGTGTTAGGTCCAATAATGTCCAAGGTCTCATCCATATTAGTTTTCCATGATTCTATACATTGTTATAGAACTACAGCTTGCCTATAATGGATATAGGGAACAAAGTCCTGATCACTGGGGAGGATTAAAAAGATACCCCTGCTTCTTCAGTGGGCTTTACTACTTTGTGAAAAGAACTTCGTAAGAGTACGTGGTATGAAGGTATGAAGAAGGTGCTTCATTGAGATTGCTGGATTTTTACTGAGTTCTGTGGATACTTAAATATAATTTAAATGGACCAAAATGAACTCACATTAAAAATTCAGTTTCTCAGTCTCACTAGTCTTGTTTCACATGTTCAGTGGCCACGTGTGCCATCACTGCAGAAAGTGCTACTCTGAATGTCCCAGCTGGGCCCCCTGCCTGTCTGAGGGGGAGAGTAGGTATTCAGAGTATTCAAGTGGTAACACCTGAGGACGACTTGGTTCTTTGTAGTTCATTACGTCTGAGATGGGAAGGGGCTGGCATTGTTCAATTCATTACAGCCATGGTGAAGTTCAGATTCATTGAATGACTGCCCAGGCATGGGGGCAGGTAAGAAGCAATCCCAGAGAGAGCTTCTAGTGCCTCCTGACTGCCCACACAGGTCTCCAGAACCTTCCCGCCAGATTCTTGAAGTCAAGTGGACGTCTTTCTTTCTTAACCTCCACTTTTTGGGGGACCAGAGAAGCCTGTTCTCCTGCCCCAGAGATGCCTGAGTGAGAGGCTCTACCCTGGTCTTTCTTAAAGTCTTATACTGCCTGTCAGAGCTCCACTGAGGTCTCAGCTGGGAGGGTCTCAATGCTGGGGACTTCCTAATAACACATGGCTGTGCCTCAGACCCCCTTCCCTGCCCCAAATCAGGGATGAAGGAGTACAGGCCATGGTTTTGACAGGGTGCAGTAGACATTAGCTGAGAGTCTTCAAGGGGAGGGCATACATCCCTTGGGGTCCTGGGTTGCAGCTGCCTATGCAGAACTAGTGAGTCTCCTGGTGATCTTAGGGCGGGTCATCTCTGCTCCCTCACCACCCTGCTCTTCTCACAAACACAGCCATCTCTGGGGCCCAGGGGCAGGAGTGCTGATTGAAGGTCCCTAGGAAATCTGGCTGTTACATCCTTACAAACCACATCAATAGCACATTCCTTGGACTGGCAGGACCAATGGAGGGCCCTCCAGGAAAGCAGCTGGTTTCTTGTGTAGTCTGCTAAGGCAGGTCTTTGGAAGAGGGAAGCAGGGGAAAGACTGAGCCTCCCTGGACTCTGTCTCCCGACACCATGGTCAGGACTTAGGCCTGGCAGCCCGTTCTCTTGGCACTTGTTGGGGCAATCATGCCTGGCCAGAAAAGAGATGAACGGTGAGATAAGGGGCCCAGAGTAGAGTCCTCATGTGGAGGAGGTCCACCAACATTTCTAATGGCAGTTTTTTCTCCAGAGAGAACAAAGAATTCCGCGTCTGGAGTCCACCAGCTCTTTCGACAGAAGATCAGAAAGGTAAAAGTGGGGATAGGAGTGCCTATAACACTGTACCCCACCAACCAGCATTTCAGCCATAGGTTCCCTTTTGGTTTGGAGCACTCTAGGGGTAAGAAAGATGGGGAGTGTGGGCCCATGATTTCTGCCTCACAAACCTGCTTTCTGATTCTCCTTCAATATCTTCTATGGTGGTCTGGTAATTTGAATGCTTAACCAAGCTTTCCTTTAGTACCAGAGAGTTTGGGGGACAGGCTTTCTGTTGTAGCAAATTTGTCAGTGCAGTTTCACTTCTGTCTCCCAGTCCCTTGAGTCTCTTTGACACATGTCAGGGGTCTGCTCTGAGATCACCGTTAGTCCTCACCCTGTAGATCAGACACAGGTACCCATTCCTCTCTTTTTGGTTCCTTTGTAGATTCTCCTCCCTCACCTGTCTCCTCCTCCTTTTTTCTTTCTCTTTCTCCTTGTCAAAGTCCCCACCCCATGCCCTCATCCCAGTCCCAAGTGGCATTTGATTGCACTTGTGCTCAGCTGAGCAGCCCAGCTCCGTCCAACCCTCATTAGGGACTCACAGAGCATTTCCAAAGCAGCAATCATAGTCTCTAGACTGCTCTAAAAAGGCTAAAGAGTTTCGGGCAGTGTAGAAAGCAGGCTGCACCTGACTTGGTCTGCGAAACATTCCTCTGTTCTCACTGTCACCCTGGTCCCGCTGCCCCTGCCAGTCCTGCACATTCATTCAGAACAAACTAAATTTACAATCCAACCAAATCAAGAAGTTAAATCGGTTATTGCAAAAGAAAACAATGTGGCATATTCTACTCTCCCAGATCAGATTTGGGGATCCTTGGCTGTCTAAGATTTCCTGGGCCCCTCCTGGCTACTCTATGGACTGAATAAGACAGAAGCAACATCCAGCTATGGAATGAACCCTGGCTTGAGACCAGACAACCTGAGTTTCATGCTCAATACCAGCACCCCTGGCTGTGAGAGCCTGAGCAGGTGGCTCAGCTCTTCTGTGACTCAAACTTCCCATCTATAAAACAACGCTAGTGGCTTCTTAGGGCTGTGTGTGCTGAGAGCACTTTATACGGCCATACAGTGTACATCAGACCTGGCTGCTGGTTTCCTGTCTCTGACATGGTAACTGGGGCAGGGGCCAGAGCACCCCACTGCCAAGGTATTTTGTTCTCTACTGTCATAGCTGTTAGTCACATGAGGACATCAGGAAAGGTATGAATGGAGATTCCCTTTCAAGGACTGGAGGCAGGGGGAAGGACAGAAAGGACCAGGCTGCTTGCTCTTCTCCTTGCTCCCCTTATTCTGGGCCTCCTCCAGCTGCCCCATCTCACCAAAGAGCAGCAAAATCACAAGTTGCTGGAGATAAGAACCTGGGCCTCATCCTTGACTTTGACTTCTCATTTCCACGTAGCCCAATTGTGTCTTATTCAAATGGACCTACAATATAAGGTAAATCTGATTGATGTTGACCGTCTCCATTCCCGGGCCACCCCTTAGCCTGTCTCTCTCTATATGACTGGACTACTCCAGTGTCTCCAGGTGGCTTCCTGGCTTTTCCTTTTGCCCTTGGACTCTTCTCTACATGGAAGCCAGAGTATCTTTCGTACCCTGTGTTTCTTCTTCACTGAGGCCACCACAGTTTGCAGTCATATGTTTTTTTTGTGTGTGTGTGTGTGATTTGGAGTTTAATGTCTGGCTTTCCCATTAGACATGCTCCACAGAGTAAAGGTCAGAATCTGGGCCGATGGTCACTGCATCCCCTGTGCCCTTGTTAAGGAACTGATGAGCAAATGAACGAAAGACCCAGACAGGGAGGGCATTTGTTTGCTTGCTCTCTCCCTTGCCTCTCTTCCAAAGGGAAACCCCTCTAGAATGTTCTTTCCTTGTGGGCAGGGCATTTATCTCTTTCATATGTGGATGACCCCCTATAGCCTGCAACATGGGCCCATCTAGAAACTCAGTAACGTTTTGTTGGATGAATTGTGAGTCTTTGAAATAGAGAGCTTCCCTGGGCTCTGGATTAAGTCTATACCACTGTCCTAAGAGGTGGACAGCCAGGGGGCTTGGCCACTTTCTCTCTGATGCCATTCCTCTTTCTAAAGATCTCACTGGTGTCCCAAAGCCCTGGTCTCCACAAACCTATTCTGGTGTGAGAGCTTAGTTGGGGCAGATGTTCCTACTATTCCAGAGGAGGAAGTAAGGTCTTCCCTGTAACTTCCTACATTCTAGGTACACTGGAGTGAAGGACCCTCCCTATGGTCACAGAGAGCATTTGGCCCGAGAAGCTCTGGGGAAACTTCTGTGCCCCTCTGGGGCTACATCCAGTAGCGGAAGTCTTTCCCAGATATTGGTGGGGGCAAAAAAGAGCAGCCCTCCACCCCTGACTCCCCTATCCTGGGAATTCCCAGAAGAGTCGAGGAAAGGGTTATAAGAAATGCCCACAGAAGAGAAGACAAAGCCCTGGGGATTGGGGGAGAATACAAGGACAGTTGAGGAAGACACCCTGGTGCCACATGATTTGCTGTCTCTGTCCTTCTCCGAGTTGCAGTTTCCACCTGTGAGAGTGAGACAGTGCCACCTGTGTGGCTGCCAAGCTAAAGCCCATCTGACAGATTCACTGGGAGGAGGAAGTGCGACAGCTGGAAAATGGTTATTTTTCATCTTACACCATCAGCAAAGTCCCAGACTTAGCCCCTTGCCTCTCTCTGGTTATTAATGGCCATAGGGACCAAATTCCTCAACCTCACTTCCTTTACAGCTTTTCTTCCAGAGCCTAGTCTTGGGCACTCCCGGCTCCCTTTCAGTTTCTCCTGCTGCGTAGGCATTTCCCCCAGGAGCTGGGCTAGATTAGCTTGAGCCCAGGGCTGGGGAAGAGTATGTGTTTGGGGGGTGGTGGGCTCAGCTGGGGGGGTGGGGGTCGTGAGCTGCCTTGTGGCTGCTCTGCAGGGTCTGGCGGAGCCCCAGCCTCTGGCTGTGACATACAGCCCCCTTCATGAAACCAGACAGAATTAAGCCTTTTGTTTCCTGTTTGCTAGGCCGGCTTAAAGAAAACACAGAGGGTCCTGCGGCTGGGGCTCCCAACAAGACCGCCTTTGTATTCATTTAATTAATCAGTTAGCCGAGGGAAAGGAGAGGAGGGAAGTTCATGTTATAAATACATGGTTTTCTTTGGCTTTCCCCCACCCCAAAAGACAGGGCCTGAATGGCATCCCCAAGAGAGACCCCCATCTCGCCCTAGACATTCTGGAGGCCGGAGCCTTAGCCCTGATATCTGTGGGTCCTGGGGAAATGTTAAATGCTGGCGGGTGGAGGTTGGTTTCTGGCCTCTGGTCCCCATTTCTGCACCTTACTTTTCTTCTCAATGCCATTCCCTCCATGGATGAGGTACCTGCACACGGGAGAGTGTTTATCCCCTAAAGTCCTGAGCAACCTGCAGGTGCACTGTGGAGGAAGAGGTCCACACCTCAGAACAGAGGTTCCTGGTCACCTCTTTATCCACCCACACTCCACAGGGAGGGCCTCAGTCGGTCCAGCAAGAGCATGCTCAGACGTTCCTAGGGGACACCAAGGCTACTCTTCCACTCCAGCCTTCAGGGGTGCAGGAGAAAAATGAGGTAGGGCTCTTAGGGTGCAGGGGTGGGAGAGAGTCCCCTGGGGCAGATACCCCATCCCCATGTCTATATCTGCAGAGCTTTTTTTCTTTTTTTTAAGCTTCTTTCTATGATGCTATTTAAACAGAAATGTTTCAAAAATTTTATTTTCCGTTTTTAGAGATGGGCAATTTCTCTCCCTACTCCCTTTCCCACTTCCAGCTGCCAGGTGTTTTTGGAGTTAAAAAACCCTTTCATTATGAGGTAAAATATTTGCAGTCCCTAAATATATGGCCCTCGTAATGGAATTTCACTGTGGTAAATTTTTCCTTATGTGCTCTTCATTTCAAGTCCTCGCTGGAATGCTCTGGTATCTGGTAACCATGGCTCTAGTCTGTCTGAATATACTGCTCAGAAAATCCCCAGTCCTGGCCAAAAGGTAGAGGGTCTGGGAATTGCACTACGCCTCTGGTCTCTAAATAATTATTTAACTTGTCTTGTCAGGCTAAATGCAGGTGGCTCGTGGTCCCCACTCCTTAGGACACTTTCCTCCTTGACTGCCTTGGCCCTTCGGGAAATCCTGAAGACAGTGGAGACCAGGAGGTGGGCAGAGCTTATCGAATATTCTGTAGGGACTGGACTGTGAGGCCTCAGTTTTCTCTCACCACTCAGAGGACATTCTTCCCCTCTCAGTCATTCAAAGAGGTCCACAGTTTCAAATCACAAACTCCCATGCCAGCCCCTCTTGGGATTCTCAGGAGCATGGTCAAGCTAGTGAACCTGCAGTGTGCATGTCTTAGGTCAGCAAACTCTTCAGTTTCATTTATTGTGTGGCTGACTAGTGTGTGTCATGTGTGCCCTGTCCCCTGAAGCAATAAAAAAACTCAGGACTGCAGAATTTCTGTGATAACTCTGGGGTGATCTTAAACAAGCCCTTTTCTTTCTAAGCTTCATTTCTCCAAACTAGTGCTTCACCTTTATATCTAAGTAGGGAGCAGGACAGACTTCTGGTGTTCCTCTGTTCAGGATGACTTATAGGTTCTGGGAGCAGGGCAGAGGTTCTGTATTTGTAACAAGCTCCTAGTGATGTTGATGCTGGTGGTCTGTGGGCCACACTGTGAGGAGCATGTGACTGATGGATGTAATCTGTAGTGTGTTCACAGAGGAAGAGGTTGCTGGCCTTCAACTCAAGCTACCATTGGATTCCAGTCATAGGTTGTCTAACTTGTCCCCGTTTGCCTGAGACTTTCCAGGTTTTATCAATGGAAGTTACTGGAAGGTTGATTGTCCTGATTTTAGACCTCTTCTTTAAGCTTCTATGATTTAAAGGCACCCGACTTTTTTTGGTCCTTTCCTGTCAAATCTCTTCCACTTAGATTGTGAACTGGCCTGACTCCTGGTTAGAGAGCTCTG